CAATAAGGCAAGAAAAATAAATAAACGGAAGATAACGTTGCAAAGGAAAAAATAAGATTACTTCTAATAGAAAAAGACATGATGCTGTAACAAAAAAAATCCAAACAAATATAAAATAATCCTACTAGGACTCATAAAGGATTTTAGCATAGTCACAGACTATAAGATCAGTGTTATTTCTATTTATTAGCAATGAACAATTGGAAATTGACATTTTTAAAAAGGAGTACCATTCACAGTAGCACCAAAAATAATGAAAATTTAAGTACAAATTTAATAAAATATATGCAAGATCTGTACACTCTGAACTGCAAAACACTGAGGAAATAAATCGAAGTAGACCTATAAAAATGGAAGGTAAACTGTATCTAGGAATTGGAAAATTCAATATGAAGATGTCCATCCTGTGTAAACTGATGTATGTATTCTATATAATTACATTAAATGCCAAGCAGGATGATTTATAGAAAGCTGATTCTCAAATATATATGGAAAGCCAAAGAAACAAGAAAGGCCAAAACAATATTTTAAAGGAACAAAGTTGGAAGACTCACACTACCTGATTTCAAGAGTTACTATAATGCTACAATAAGCAAGACAATGCAGTATTGGCAAAAGGATACACAGATGGCTCAAATAAACAGAATATAGAGTCCAGAAATAGATCCATGCACAGACATACCTCATTTTATTGTGCTTCACTTTATTGTGCTTCCTTGATGTTGCATTTTTTACAAATTAAAGGTTTCCGGCAACCTGCATCAAGCAACTCTATTGGTGTCATTTTTCCAATATTTGCTCGCTTTCTGTCTCTCTGTCACATTTTGGTAATTCTCAAAATATTTCTAACTTTTTCATTATTTTCATATTTGTTATGGTGACCTGTAATCAGTGACTTTTGATGTTACTAATGTAATTGTTTGGGGGCCTCCTGAACCACACCGATATAAGACACTTCACTTTTTTAATACTAAATATGTCTGTTTATACAAATATTTCTCCAACTATGAAGACATTAACCAAAAATACAACTATGTAATGAATTCACACACTCCATTTATCCTAATTTGACTAACTAAGCTATTTAAGAAGTTACCTATGTCTTACCATTGGGCTAAGTTTTGGGGACCTAAACACTCATTTGGAAAAAATACATCTATAAATACTGTATAAACTATTCTGGCAATATTTTATGACCTGGAAAGAGATTACAGGGATTTTTTTTTTTAGTATTTAGTAAACTATAAATGAATGTTCTGTGAACTTCTCATTATGTGTGATATGTTTAATGGTAAAATAAGAAAAATTGGTATTTTCAGTATATACCCATATTAATGTAAATTATTTAAAACTCAAAATACACTTACAATTAAAATACAGTTATAATTATTTTATTTAGCACATAATATTTCCAATAAAATATTTTCATAATCCTTAATGAATATGTGTGCTTAGATCTAGAACATATTTTTTAATCAGGTTTTATGATTTATGAGCAATTGCTAACCAAGATTTCTTAAAACTTATAACCATAATTTTTTTTATAATCGCCACTACAAAAAAATTCTGAGTGGAAATGTAACCCAGCGATTTAAATTATTTTTAAAACATCCCCAAATTTACAACTGAAATCATTCAAATCCTGTTAGAACTTTTTCCTTTCATTGACAAATTTAATGTTAAACCAATTTAGAACCAAGTGCATTTTTTTCATTTCAAATACTTCAGAACAATAAAGAAGCCCTAATTTATAGAAGGCTTGTGCATTCTTAGAGCACTCATACCAACTTAGATGGTGCTAAGAGGATACACAGCTGGAAATGGACAGAGTATCTGAAATGAGGAGACAGGGATCGGGGCTTCTGCCTTCTACCATATTCAGGATTCCTCTCTGGCCCCCATCACCACAGGCTGCAGCACCTACAGGTGACCACTGTGCCCCTTGGGCACCTGAATCACAAACTCCTCCAGCGGCCCATGTGCCTCTTGTCCACGATGGGCACTCTCCTTCTGCGCGTGGCTGCTGTAGCAGGTGACCAGGTGGTAGAGCGCCTCTTTGGTTGGGCTTCTTAAATGGAGCAGCGAGTGACATTTTGTCTCATTGTTCCTGCTGCTTGACAAAGACACGGGAGTGTGATCACATCAAACCTCCTCTATTCTTGACCTCCCAGGAGCCCCTTTCCAGGCTACAATCTGCCAGAGCAATCAGACTGAACCCCCAGCTGGACAGGGCCAGATTTCGCTGGCCTAGCTTCAATACCTTAACCTGTAACCCATTTGCCATGCTGTCTGCTATGCGGTGGTTAGAAAGCTCTGTCCCTAATTTTCATTCATGGAGGGGAAAGAATGAGAACTTTGGACAAAAGAATCTAAAATCTTTTCCATTAATAACTTGGCTTCGGTTCTATGGCAAATCAAGGACCTAATAACATTTCAATTCCTTTAGATGATGGAATGAACTTGGTTGATAAACAGGCACCATTCTATGAGCATGAAAATAATATATTTCTAAGATTTTAACTTTTTGCTTTTTCCTCAAAGTTAAATGGTAGGATATTGCCATTACAGGTTAATTTAAGAAATTCACCAAATTATACACACAAAATTTCCAAACATTCAATAGTTGTAAAATAATATTACAGATTCTGAAATTATTTTACGTTGAATTTCCTTATTTTTTAATTAAATTATATTAATTTAAAAAACACTAGGCTTGGATTTAAACTATTTTATTTATCAATATTCTAAAAGGCTTTTTTAATTAAAAAGTTAAATCAATTAGATTTTCCACATCAGCATAAGAAATTCGACCTGTAAAATGAGACTGTTGACTTCACAGAACTGAGCCAGGCTATTTGCTGATTCATACTCCACCAGGCAGGGAGTGCTGGTACCCACATACAGTACTCAGACCACAAGTTATGTGCTGTGCCTGTGATTCACATTTCACTTTTTTTGCTTTAGTAAAGCATGTGAACTTCTAAAGACATGTCCTTTAGAGTAAAATTCAAACCAAAGAGTTTTAAGCTATCTGTTTCACCAGGCACTTCAGTGGATGTAGACAAAAAAAGAATAGAAGCAGATACTAGGCATTCAGATTCTGCTTGAGGAATAAAAGTTTTAAACAAAATTATGGCAGTAAGATAAGTGTTATAATAAATATAGTTACCTGTTTATCTGCTCTCATAACAGTAATTTTAATCAGATTTAAGTGAAGTTCTTAACTGGATCAGTTATCCCATAAGCCTATTCTTATAAACTGATGTTTTAGAAATTTTCAAAACCAATGGTATCTTTGTATAATCATACAAGTTATAGAGATAATGAACTACATCCCCAGACGAGGATATATCCTCTGAGGGACATCTTGCCCTAAACTTACTGAAAGTAGTAATGGACAGTAGATAGTTTATCTTCTGTGTAACACACAATTTAAAAAAAGAAATTGTAGAGCCCTGTTTTCTACTGATGGTTTTGTTATAAACAACTCTTTTTGTTTGTTTGTTTCCAAGTGATAGCATAATATTTAATAGCCTTGATAAAGTACATACTACTATGAAAATTGTGACATGTCTCACCAGGGAGGCTTGTCCCCAAACTCGTCAGCCTCACTATCCCAGGAAATGATCACTATTATTAAAAAATTGTGGTAAAATATTTCATTGTAACTCATCCTATTTACCCCACTTTAGAATAACTTCTTCAGGGGCAGGCACATTTTTCTGGTTGGGCATCAAACCTTGCAGACCATCTCTCTGCAACAGCCATCTTGGCTGAGGACATCATTCCTAAGAAAACTCTCATTTTCAAGCTCATTCTGAAACAAATCTTCAGAATTTCTCTCTCTTCTTTCACTATTCTTCTTTTCTCACACTTCTTTGTGGGAGGAGCAATTCAAAAACTGGGCTCTGCATCATTAGCTGTGTGATCTTGAGCAAGTCACATAACTATTTCTTTATCTAAAGAACACAATAAAGAGAATTATCTTTTAATGGGATTTGTAAAAAATGTGGCACACAGTATGGATCACAGATTCAATCTTTCTTCTAAGAGACAAAAGGGAGAAGTCAAATTTACATATTGAAAGAAAAATCCCAATAGGACAAGGTTTCTGCCACATATTTTTGTTTTTTAAAGTAGGAAACAGATCTTCCTTAGCAAAGAGGAAGCCCTATTACACAGTTGGGAAAAGAAAAAATCTTGACATAACGTGATACTCTATTCTACAGCAAGAACATTATTGTGTAATTTTTAATCACAATAATAATCCACAGATACATAGAAAAATTGGTGACAATTCTAATTCTATTCATGACAAAATATCAGTTGACCAATGCAATAAATAGAGGCTTTCATTATTGGTGGGGATTTAGAAAGGTAGGCAGAACAGTGTGGTTCATTCATTCTCAAGCGTCCTCAAGAATAAAACAAAAAACCTTGGTTCAACAAGGTATTCAATTCCTTTACATACACATGATTGAAATTCCAAAACAAGAAGCATTACTAAAAAAAAAAAAATCCCTGAAAAACTCTGGAAATTTTTACACATTTACCAAGTCGACAATTTTTGTCATTCTTTCTCTGTTTTAATGCAATTATAAGCAATAAAACCCTTGAAACAGGAAGGGGCTGTATGTAATTGTTTCAGAGAAAGCAAAAAAGAAATGAACTGGTAAGAGAGCATGCCACTCCATGGCTTACCATGGCTTAGCTACTACCAAAAAAGTAGTAGGTGGTGTTATCTGTAGATAGGAAAGGTTATCAGCCCATTGTCTCCAACTAGTATGGAGTCACCTAAGCACTGAGGATGATCCTCAAGTCTAAGAATAAGCCCATAGAGTTACACTATATGGCAAGAGAAGAAAAGATATTAGAGCTAAATCCTGCCAAGAAAATTTTAGAAAGAAAAATGAAGAGAATAGAAAAAGAATAGGAGGAAGATGTTGAGGCAGAGCAAGAACAGGAAAAAAACACAGAAAAAGAAGGATAGATGGTTCTCCTCAGTTTGTAATTCTCTTCAGGATTTGCTTCAGAGCAAGTTTGACATCCTCGTTCCTGAGGCTATAAATGAGAGGCTTCAACATGGGCACCACATTGGTGCAAAACACTGAGAAGAATTTCCCTTGGCCCACAAACCCAGCAGATGATGTCTTGACATGAGTGAGCAGCCCAAATCCGTAGAATAGACCAACTGTCATTATGTGGGAACCACAGGTGCTGAAGGCTTTGGACAAACCTTTAGTTGATGAGATGTGAAGGATGTTGAAAATAATCAAAGCATAAGAAATAAAGATAATGAGGCTAGATGCTATGACAACTGTGCCCACAATAACAGAAACCACAAACTCACTGGCATAGGTGCTACTGCAGGAGAGATGGAGGAGGGGGAAGATGTCACACATGTAATGGTTGATGATGTTGGAATCACAAAAGATCAGCCTGATCATACACCCTGTGTGGACCATGGCACCAGCAAAACCCATCACGTATGAACCAGACATCAACACAGAACAGATCTGGGGAGACATGGTGACCGTGTACAGCAGGGGTTTACAGATGGCCACATAGCGATCATAGGCCATGGCTGTCAATACATAGCACTCAGAGTTGACAAAAAAGCACAAGAAAAAAAGCTGAGTCATACATCCTGTAAAGGAAATGAAGTTCCTCTCTGAAATAAAACTCATTAGCATTTTGGGGGTAAATACAGATGAATAACAGAGATCGATAAAGGACAGATTGAAGAGGAAAAAGTACATGGGGGTGTGAAGGTGCAAATTCAGACATATTAGATTAACTAAGCTCAAATTGCCCACCACAGTGACCACATAGTTCACCAGAAACAGAAAAAACAGGGGCAGCTGGAGTTCAGGTTCATCTGTGAATCCCATAAGGATAAACTCAGTCACAGAGGAGTCATTTTCCACAGCCATCACTTCACAGGTGTGATCTGCAGGAACAGGGGTAGAAGGTGACATTAACAACGGACTCTCATTCTTTGTCTCCAAAGGGAGAGCAGGATCTGCCAATTTCCAAGCTCAGGGTTGTCTGAAGACATACAGCAAGGAGCAAGGCTTCCTGTGATTATTCCTAATGATTCCTCATTTCCTCCTTTATCCCCACTCATGTTGTTCACCTCCGTCTAGAAAGAAGGCTAATAGACCCCCAATGTCTTTGCACATCATTTCCTCCCTTCTCTCAAGTCTCCATTAAGGATCAAGGTTGAAAAGAGCAATAAATAGATGGTGCTCCCCAGAACCCTTGATTCATGCAGTTGGGCTTTGAAAGGAAATTGTCAAAACAAAGGTGATTCCACTCTCATCTTCCTTTTCCTGGAAGTGTCACTGCTACTGGATCTTAAGGCCCCTTTTACTTTACAGTCCTGAGGGAGTCAAAGACAATGAGGGAGACAATATACATCGGCAGTGTCTTCAGCCTTTGACGTGCTAAAAGAGTTATTCTGCGAAGTAGGACATGATTTCTATTTGAGAATTTTCCCAGAAATTCCTCTTCACTTTCAAGGAGGAAAACAACCTTATATATGACCTCCACAACAATCGGTTGACTCCAGTGAGAATCTGTTCCATGCCCTGTACTTCTGGGAAAATTGATTAGAAGCCCAGAAAATTATTCTTTCTCTCATGATTCCCTTCCAAGTTAATTGAGCCCACTGAGGGTGGAAATTACTGAGCCTGTGTTTACATCCTGTGTCATAGACCTAACATTGGATCCTTTGAGACGCAATGTTCTACTTCAGTTTACAATTTCACAACAGGAATTCCTAAGCTCCAATGCAGAGGAATGAGTGTTCCCCTTTGTCACTTTCTTCATCATCTCCTGGAGTCAATGCACAGTTGTAAAAGAGGAAGGTCTGCGGCATGGTCACTTGCTATTTCTAACACTTTCCTAGAGCCTCTGACATTGCGTTAGTAAAGTACTAAATCTCAGCTTTTAGCACTCTCTATGCTTGTGGATTTTTCCTCCATTAAGAGATGTAGGAAAGTGGTTCAGAGGGTGGGGATGGGCCTCTCAAGTTAGACTGAGTTTTGAACTAGGTAATTCTATGTTGTGGGGCCGTCCTGTGTATTATAGGATACAGAGTATCCCTGGCCTCTACTCATTAGATGCCTGTATGTTGTGAGAGGTTTGGGGATTCGACCAGAGATGTAAAAGAAACTTTTCACTCCAAATAAATGCACTGAAGCTATATTTTATTATATAGAGGATAGTAAAGGTGATAGTCCACAAACAGATCCGAATAGGTCAAATAATAAGAGGGAAAAACACCAGCTCGATTGGAAAGGGAAACACCAGATCAGCTGAGACAGCAGCAGATTAGAATAGGTCATATAATAAAAGGGAAAAATATCAGATCAATCAGAAAAGGAAACACCAGATCAACTGAAGGGAAATGACACAAATCAACTGGAAAGAGAAACAGCAGGTTGACCAAAAAGAGAACACATTAGACCAGTTACTCAAAATATCCATGCCCCACTGCCGGGAGAGTCCCTTCAATTGACACAGCTGGGTGGGAATCACACGTCCTGGGCAAGGCGTCCCTTCCGCAGGTGAGACTCTCACCAGGTCTCAGTTTCCAGAAGTTTATATAAGCAGTTACAGAGTTTTTTCAGAGCAAGCATTCAATGTTCCCATGCGCAAGTGGTTATCAGTGGCATACGTGCACTGAGCCTCCTGGCTATCATCCCAGCCTGGCAGTTGTGTATGTGCATTGTTTTCCCTGGTTATCATCCCAGCCTGGCACAGATGGCCAGTCTGCCCCAGGCCGTGATGCCCAAAGGACCTTGAAATTCTTACAAATTGCAACTATCTCCGTGGGAGAAAGGCCAGTTTCTGGGAAAAAGGCCAGTTCCCACCACACAGAAAGCAACTTTATATTTCTGTGTGTGTTGGTGGCAGTAGGTTACTGGAATGGCCAAACATGGCTGTACTCATGTCAAGGCACTGTAGTAGCCCCCTTCCCTAGTTGCGACAATCAAAATGTTCTCCAGACATTGTCATACTTCCCCCGGGTGGTAAAATCATCCATATTTGAGAATTATTCGTTTGTATGGATAGCCTGGAATTCTGCTATAAATGCCTCTCAGACAATGCTATTTTATGTCTATTTATGTTCCTCAAGCTCAAAGTGCCCCAAACTGAATTCAGCATTTTCTTATGATTCCTAGCGCTGCTCTTGCAGGTCAACATTGTCAAAGTTATTTTTACCAGGGAGCTACCCCATAAAGTAAACTTAAGCACCTTCTTCTCAATCAGCATCTTCATCCAGTCTCCAAGTCCCAGAGAATCTATCTCCCTGAAAGACGTGGCCTTTCCTCTCACTTAAAAAACATCTGTAGTAGCTTTTCATTTCAAATTTAGACTACTCTAACAGTGTTCTATCTTGGACTCCTCTGGAAGATGACAATTTGGACCTTTTTCACTCTCCTCAGCATCACTGTACACACACACACACACACACACACACACACACACGTACACCCATTTCTCTTCCTGATTTCCATTCCTAATTCTGACCAATATGGTTATAATCATAAATTAAGTTAGGTCAATATTCCTGTGTTACACTATTTTTACGACTTTAAGCACTATTCACAGCTAATCCATCATATATTATGATTGTTTTTATTTCCATAATTCTTTCTGTTTTTTTGTTTTTCTTATTATTTCATAGAATTTTCCTGATTCCTCCCCAACTTCTTCCCCAGTTTTTGTAAATCTCATCTCAGTATATTCAGTCACTGGTATTCAATTTCATCTTCTTAAAGAAGTCTTTCCAGCATTTTTTGACCCATTCTTGTCTTGACAGATTTTCTTGCAGCTGTGACACAAATCCAAAATCTTGAGATCTTCCTCTATTGCTGTAGTAGAGATTCCCTTTATCTCTGTCATGTGCTGGATCCTCCGTTTCCTCAATCACATATCCCCCTATTTTTTGGTTTTCTCATTCATTTTGGTACAAGACATACTACCTTGCTCTCTTGAAAAAGATCCATGTAATGCAAATTTTACTGATCTTGCATGTCTGAAAATATATTTATTGTATCTCCCAATATATCAGCCATTTGCATGGGAATAAACAACTAATTTAGAACTCACTTTCCCTCAAAACTTTGATGGCATTGATCCAATCTTAAGAAGCTCAATATCTCCCTGAATCTTAGTATTATTTTATGAAAACTTGTTACTTTCCCTACATTTTGGAAGCTTTTAATATTTTATATTTGTTTCCATTGTTTTGAACACTCACAATGTTGTATCTTGATATATGTCTGATTAAACATTAAGGAGAGCATTAGTTCAGTCCACTCAGGAAAATCAAGTCCTTCAGTTCTGGAAAATATTTCTTAAATTATACAGATTATTATTTCATCCTCACTTCACTTTCTGTTCTCTTTCTGGAAATTTTATTATTCAGGTGCTGAAATCATGAATGTCCTCTTTTTGTGCTGTATTTTCTCTTCTATTTTCCATCCTTTTACTCTACTCTCTGGGGGATAATTTCAACTTTTTCTTCTAAGACTTCTACAGATTTTTTCTTTTTGCTCTAATTTCTAATGTTCAGGGGTATATTTTGTTCCCTTATAATGTTTTCTGAAGTTTTCTTCTCCTGAATTGTCTATTTCCTTCAAATTATTTATGTTTGGTCACATTGTATATTTTATATTACAGATTCTTTTTAACTGTCTCAGAATACTTGTGCAATATTAACATTTAAGAGTGGGATTCTAGAAAGCTGACTAGCAACTCCATGTAAGGGCTTAGTGCTTGCCAGCTGTGGCTTCATTGCCTAACGTTCCATTTCAAGGGAACAACTCAGTGGTAATACTAACAGGTCTTTGGTGATGAATACCTCAAAAAAGAGTCTTTCAATATTCCTGAAGGATATAATCCTAGCTTTCAACATTATTTGAGCTGAGAAGTGGAAGAAGCCTAATGATGTCAACACTCACTAGGTGAAATTTCTACTTTCTTGCCCTGTTTTCAGCATGGTAAACTCTCCCTCAAATGTGCACATAGTCTCCTAATTAAGAGACTCTGTTTTACTTTCTTTAACAGTAAACCTCTAGTCTTTTACTGGATGATAATAGAGGCAGTCTTCTGGCTGCATGGAGAGGTAGAGGAGATCTGAAGATCCAATTACCTCTTAAACAGATTTCTAAAGCATTCCATTTGTTCTATCCTCACCTTCATGAGTTCTTCCAAAAATACCTGGTGCCACAAAATCCCGGGTATATGAGTGATAATATGGTGTAAATCAGTTGTTTTCTTGGCTTCCACAGTTCTATCTTAATGTCAGATATCATAAGTATGCCATTTCAAATATTGCTCATTTATCTACTTTCTAGCTTCCAAAATTTCATGGTTGTTTGTGACTATCTGTTTTTTTCTTTTTTGTCATTGTGGCTAATGCCATTTTTTAATCTTTTTTCTATCATGTTAATGAGTTTCAGGAAGAAATAGAGACAGGTTGCCTACATTAAATACACCTTTTTTTGTGCGTGTGTGAGGAAGAGTGGCCCTGAGCTAACATCCGTTGCCAATCTTTCTCTTTCTCCTTGAGGAAGATTGTCACTGAGCTAACATCTGTGCCAGTATTCCTCTATTTTGTATATGGGACAATGCTACAGCATGGCTTGATGAATCCCAGGCCACCAAAACAGAGTGCACGAACTTAACCACTGTGCCACCAGGCTAGCCCCTAAGTTTACCGTTTTTAACTAGAGTTCCCTCCTTTATTTCTAGGATGACACCAAGGAGCACTCTAAATTAGCTGGAACCTGGAGCCTGGCAGTGAAACCCCCAGGTCTCCAGTAGCTCTATTCTACTCAGAGTACACAGTACACGAGGCCTAAAACTCCATCAATAGACTATCTCTTTATTTTAGAGATTTTACTGATTCATTTCATCC